AACCATTACCCCTTGCACTATTGTAGCAGGTCTGTATTTTCTTTTTTAATTAAAATAAGATTACACTGGAGTATTTTTAATCCTGACTTTCATTCCAACATTTTTGACCACCTTGCAGTGGAATCTAGGTACAAGAGCCAGAATGAAACAGAAAAAAAGTGTTTCTTCAAAGTAGCTGTAACCATGAAGGAGGTAAATTTATTACAGAAAAGCAGAGATTGTAGGAAATCTTTTATTTTCAGATCATTAGACTATCTCACTACAATGTTAGGGGAGAAACAACATGTTTACTACAGGTGTACTGGCTATCCAGGGAGGCTTACATTTTATTAGCCTTCCCCTGGAGAAGACCTTGCATACTTTGATGTCTCTGTCAGTGCTATCAGTCTGTATACTGCTAGAGAGCAAACTTTATTTTGTCTCTTGTTGAAAAAAAAAAAAAAATTCCAAGTAGAATTACTTCAATATTGAGTTTTGTCCTGAAGCATTAGGAGGACCCCCAACAGTCTCCAGACAGTCTTGTGTAGTTTTTATGGACTTGCACAAATCAAATATGAGATGTGACTGGACACTTAAAAATGTAAGTTCATGATCTTGTAATACAACCCACATGAAAGATGATACTATGAGGTTGAATTCTGTGAGTTAGTTCACAGTTGGATAAGTATTTTCAATTCCCATTACAATCCAGGTTGGCTTTGTGTCTTCCAGAATTCAGCTGCATATGAAGAAACACATTAGAAGACAAAACCAGTAATGGAAGTAGCAAAAAAACCCTGTGCATTTCTTGAAGGGGAACACTGACATCTTTAATGTTAATTATCACTTAAGTAATAACTATCATCATTCTTCAGGGATGAAAATAATCTATGTGAAACTGTTTATTTTGCTCTATCTTTATTTTTTATATTATTTATTTCCTTACTATCCTATACTGGCCCTTTTTAATACTTAATTTCCACCATTGTTGAAATTATTATGACTTCTTTCAAACTTTTCTTAATGTTAGGAAAAAGATGTTTAGATAACCAAGTGATGTTCAAACAACAAAACCCTGCAAATGCAGAACACATTCTATTATGAGAAAGTAGAAATTAACATCCTTGATAGCTTGATAACTCTACATTCTATCATTATGTGATACTATTAATCACATATAGTTAATCAATAGAATTAGGACTGACAAGATTCAGTTCACAGAACTATGATGAAATGGAAAAAAACTTGAAAGTCAAGGTCTGCATTCCGTTACTTGAGAATATGTCTGATCAGATACACTGACCTCTGTTGAGGTATAAACTAATTTGCTTTAATGGACACATCAGAAAGTATCCTCTAATGTCCAGAAATTGTACAGGTTCTCTTTTTTTCTGGAAATTCCACCATAGCAAAGCCACTAGACAGTATCTACACAGAGATAAAATGAAGAATTACTTAAGTCTCTCTGTATAGTAATAATGTTAAAATTAACATCTTTTCAAGAGAAATAAAGAAGATTAAAAAAGGAAGAAAACTTGGACTTAAATGTATGAACTTGAAATAACTGCCTTATGCTATCAAGCATCAAATGTTTTATACTCCCTTAGTTTCTGTTTCCTAAATCTGAAGAGGCTTTCTGTTGTTTTTATTAGTCAAGATAATTTACTGCTCCCAATCAGCAGCCAAGCCTGCAAAGATCCATTTTAACAACCCTGTTTATTATTTGTAAACAGTTATTAAATAATTCCTCAAAGTTTCTAATGCATTATAAAAGCAGTTAATGAAATCATGCATGATTTTTTTTCCTGCTAGAACTTCTTATCTTCTCAGATAGAATTTTAGAGTGTTTTTATAACCCAGCTTGAAGTGAGATTGAATTGTATAAAATGACTGATTGTCAAGGACATGTGAACAAATGAAGTATTCATTTTATTCAGAATCCATTGAAAGATTTCTTGATGTTTTTATTTAATTTGCTTCATATCAAGGAGCTAAGTTCCCCTTTGAGACACATCAAGAAGGAAATAAAAGATTAATAAAAGCCCACAAAGTTCCTACATTCTTGCAGAGTTTGACAGAAAGCCTTAATATTATTCGGCTTTTTCCTCATAGATAAATAAAGACCAATATTGTCACAATAGTGGTTTTTGTCAGAAACTGTCCAGTCCCCCGGGTACAATTACTGTTTATAGATCAACATCCAAGAATGACGATAAATATGTCAAATAGAATATTTTTGATTTAATAATACGTATGTACTGAGAATAGACCATATAATTTGTTTTATTTACATAATGTCATTTGTAGAAACTGTTTAAAACCACAAGCTCTTTCAGTGGTTTCTGACTAATGTGCTGACTACATAGGATGAATATCAGTTGTGTTGCCAACCATTAGAACTCAGGAAGCTGTTTCATTTTTAAACTTAAGTGAATATTTGAAAAGTTGTAAGTTATCCAAATAATTTTATAATAAAAAAGCTTAAAAAGCCATATTCAAAATTGTATAACGGAACTCAGAAACACAATGTCAAGGAAATTTTCAGGTAGCTGAACGTTTGTTATGATGCCATTCTAAACTTGTTACTTTGTTATCAGAGTCCATCCTCAACAGTTTCTTTCTTCACAAAATACTCTGATTTTCTTTAACTCAAACGAACATCTCTACAGCACATATATTATCCCATATTTTGGAGTATAGTATATATGTGTTTAAAATTTTGTCATTGCTCTTTAATATTTGTCAATGGACAAGACAATATAACCTAAAGCAATTTCTATCAAATAGAAAAGGTGAGGTAGCATAAATGGAATATTTTAACTGTGAGCCCAGATAGTTTGTAAAAGGCCCATTTATTGTACGAGAAGGTAGAACAAGGCAGCTGTCATATATAGTGATATTTAACAAACAGAATTTTCCTGAATATTTTTTCAAGGTAGGTTTATAGATGCTGCAATGTCAGGTAGGGAGTCTGGGTCTCTTCACTGAGAAACTTGCTGAGTCATACAGGAATGCAAGCTATTTACTAAGAACTACTAAAGAACTCCACTACAATAAAGAGAATTTTCAGAAATCCCAACTGATAAAAATCAAGATGTGCAAGCCTGGTAGAAATTCATGTGTGTGAAAAAATGAATTGGGAAATTGTTGAGGAGTAGTTCACTTATGTGCAAATGCCTCTCCAATACTCCAGCACAGTTCAGAAGGTTGGATAATCACAGTTGTATGACAGCCAGCCCTGAAACAGAAATTTGCTTGAGGCTCATATATACTACCCACTTGACATTTAAGAAAATCTGTGCAGTTTTCCTTCACAGATTTTGTTTTTTAGCTCAGTGATGTAGACTGCTGCATTTATCCTCATTTACTCTTTCCATTTCTTACACTGTATGGTGTCCGTATGTATGATATGGATAATTAATCTGTTGAATTTTTACAGAAAACTGGAACCCAATAAAAGCATGAAGGAATGCCACGAAGGAAGAGTAAAAAAAGATATAAATATTAAATATGACAGTAAAACTGGTTTGGGTTTTTTTTTTTTTTTTGGTCATAGTTCAAACTTTTAAAAAAGACCATTTTGTGTATTTGTTTTTTATTTTTTTAATTTTCAAAGGTTGACATTAAAAAGATCAGGTCTGCCATGTTAATTCATAAAACTGAACACCTGAAACTCAATAATTAGCATAGGCACTAAACCAGCAAAAGAAAACAGGAATGGTATGATAAAACATTCAGCTTTTTGCTGGAGAGGCTGCATGCTGTGTAGACAGAAATTTCCACTTGTTTCACTGAATAAACACTAACTTAATTCTATTGTAATCTGTGGACACATTTTTTACTTACTCTGTTAAACTGTCATCTGTGTTTAAATCCAGCTTTTGTAATGCTTCTGCAGCACAGGACTAGTCATAGTTCTAGAAAAAGCTATAAGGTTTTTGAGGCAACAGCCTGAGTCTCTTTGTCTCTGATTTATTAATGATGGATTTACATATGTTGAATTGCATAAATGTATTTCTGAAGAATTAGAAAGCATCATTAACTGTGGAACATACTGGAAATCAGGAAAATATAGGCATTTATGGAATCATTCTAAAAAATAAACTTATTTTGACCAAAACCAAAATGCAAATATAATGTAATAAATATGAAACTTTTTGCTGAAAAAGAGCAAATAACACAGGTGCCTCAATAGGCAGATATTCCGATAGAATCAGAGTTAAATATAACTTATATTGAAATGTCATGTTTCTCCATAAGAATTATTATTGGAAGGTGTTTTCTTTTGATTTTTGGGAAAAAATCCTAAGCCACTTTTTGATAATGAGATTTAGATACTAATTTACAGAAAAAAATACTGCAGCTATATGCCCCAATGAAATTCAAAACTCCTTGGGTAACAATATTGTAATCAACGGTTCTTGGTTGTACTTGATCAATGAACTGAATTGGAGCCTGAAAGTGTAACAGGTCTTTAGTACAGAAACAGTTAAAAAAAAGTGAATGTTTTAAGCCATACAGCCTCTGTTCTGTTGTGTAACCACGCGTGCCTTCTGTCATCCGAGAGGCATGAATCTGTATCTACCGGCATCCTGCTGCTGGTCTGTGTGCCCTGTGTGGTATTTGCCCATCCCTTGGGAATGTCTCAGATGTCTGAGGGTATCACAGAGTGGCAGTGGCCACTTTGGTTGGGGCAACTGAACTGAGTCCTGAAGAAACAGACATTACGGAGAAAGGAGATTTGCTTCTCTCTTTCAGTGACAGGGCAACAGAATAGCAAGAAGGAGTAATTGTTCTAACCGAAATACATCAAGTGTCAGATAGCACCTCAGCCTTCCTACATGTAAATATTTACACAACTTGGGTGTTTCAAAGGAAACTGTCTCCTTCAACACCCTTCCTTTGCTGATTGCTGCAGTAAATGCGTGCATATATTGAAAACCAATTCCTGAATTAACTAGAGTATTTTTGGCTTAGAATTTTTGCATCCATGTGGTACCCAGAAATACTGTCTTTCTTACCATCGTTTCTCAGTGTCAGAGGTGTAGGAGGACTCAAAACTCTGGCATTTGTCACTGTGTTTTTTACCAGGCATATATAGCTGCCAACATCAGATGTTTGCACCTTGGAGATGTAGAGATTTCCTGTCTCCTGAGAGATGAAGCGTCTGCTATCTTCTGCCACAAAAGATGGAAATTCATTAAACACCCAGCTATAGATGATTTCTAAAAGAAAAAGGGAAAAAGAAGAGAAAGCAATTATGGAAATAATATTGAGTAATGTTAATGGTTACGCTCAATACATGTTTATGTTATTTAAATAAACTAGGGAAAAGAAACAGTTAAAGGCTTTTAAAACATTTTGTTTATTTGTTTGTTTGTTTGTTTTAGAACTGAAAAAAAGATTTTTTTTTCCTCTCCTTGGAATTTTGGAAACAACATAAGCATTGAGTCCACAGGACAGATTTAGTTCAAGAAAATTAATGAAATTATTCATCAGACTCAGAAGCCACCCATATAATATTAGATAATTCCCTTTTCTAATGTTTCAGGTCAAGCCAGAAAAAAAGTATAAAGCATTCTTTTCTCTACTTGTTCAAAATTTAAGTCAAATGTAGCAAGATGCATACTACAACACTAGGGATAACTTTTTCATTTGTGTGTATAAACAGTTTTTAATTATGAACATCTTCTTTGATAATCAGCAGATTTGAATAACTGTTCAACCTATTTGCAGACAGTAGTACTGCATTATACTTCTATCTTCTTCTGCATCTGCTTCAGTGAAGAATATCAGAACCCTGACTACCTGTGGCTTAAATCCCTATGCTCAGTGAATAAACCAAAACTACCAACAGCTTTGCCTCATAATCATAGAATCACAGAATA